CGTATCAATATCAAAGTAAATAATGAATAGTATTATAATTGTAGTATTGAAATTGTATTAAATTTTTCAGAGACATTATTTGTGCAATATTTATTTCTTCATAGAAATCAGATATTTAAAAAAATATAACGTTGAAATAGTGTTGAATAAAATGACTGACAAGTATATATTGAAGTTAAAATGTTTTCTGTGCATATCATTATTGAAAAATAAAAAGTGCATAATAAAATAAAAAATAATGTAAATAATAATATTTATAATATAAATAAAAATATAGAACTGTTATACAAAGTGCATGAAAGAAAAAGCGAGAAAATGCCATTACAATACTATTCATTAGGAAGAAAAATTCCTGAAAGTCCCTTATCTACTATTCGTATATTATTCCAATATTAACGGTAAGTATACTATAAAATTATACTATATAATATTACTATTTTATACAATATACTATATATTGTACAATTCAATTAGAAAAATAATTACAAAGATTTACGAAAGTTGACCAAACGTTTCAAAAAATTCGAAAAAGTTTTAAAAAGAAAAAGAAACTTATTGATACAGATTATTCTAATAAAATATTTTTATATATACATTTCTTTTTTGAATAATAATACAGAATAATACAGAAATTTTAGAAATTAATTTCTGTATTGTTGTCTTTTACATTGCCAACAAAAGAATTCTTAAAACGTTCGATCAATAACATAAATTCACGAGTAATTATAGGAACATGACAACGTATTTGATATAAGAAATAAGACTATCTTAAAATCTATGTGTAAATCTATATTATAGATTAGTATAGAATAGTAGAAAAAAGAATACTTGAATATTCAGTCTTTTTTGTCAATTGCATATAAAAAAGAATAATATTACTTACTTACATTTCATTCAATATATCAATATAGAGAAAAATGAAATATAGTTTGATCAAACCAAATCCAAGGGAATTTTAACGGAAATATTTTAGGATAAGGAAAATTTAAGTATACTGTTGAAGAGTAACGAATAATCTTAGAATGATAATGAAATATAATTGATTGAGAAAGAATTTCAACAAAATAGTTTCATCAGAAACATTATAAAATTATAAGGAGGATGTAGAAGTGATCAAGGTTTAGTTACACCAATATTATTTTGATATAACGCTTTAACCAGATTTAAAACTTTAAGTTTATTGTTTCAAAATAAAAACGAAGTCTAAAGTATTCTAACTCATACTTCAATCTTAAGATAAACACAAATTAAAATACTTTAACTATCGCTTTTGCTTTGATACAAGTTTAAAATTTCAAGCCTATATTAAAGCCAAAATAATGTTGATATAACCGAGCCTAAGTAAATAAGAAATAAGAAAATGAATCTGAAAAAAAAAGGCAATGTTAATAGTAGAAAGAATACATAAGAGCTGATAGATGAATATAAAGAGATATATTGAAAATCAAAATTTCCGTCAAATTAAAATAATTGGAATTAAGATATAATTGAATTAAAATACTGCAAGAAAAATATCGTTATTCTTTTTTTTTGCGTATATAAAAATATTTGAATACCTGTCTCAGAAGAGACAATATATTCGAATTTTTTTCTATGGTTGTGATTTTCCTCCAAGATATGGAATTTGTCCATCATCTATAAATTATTCTTATATCATGTCATATATGGTCTTCAAATATGCTCTCATTAATACACATGCACACAAATTTGTATGCCTTCAACATATTGTTTCTCTGATCTTGATTATGAGTAAAGCAAGGCCAATTCTCACTTTCTGGGATCATTTTATGTAAAATAGAACTGAAATTATATATAGTATTATTATGTATAGTATCTTATCTTCTATACAAATGTAAAACATAAATTTAAAATATATTTTTATATTTTGCTATTGTCTCTTATCTCTAATATTTTTTAATATTATGCAATGAAAATGTATAATATTTATATACAATTCTTTTTATTATATATTTCAAAGATATATATAAATAATATTTTACACTACATACAAAAACATACTTCTTTAATATATAAAATTTATAAAAAGAATAGCTAAATTATAATAGATATATAAAATTAATTTATAGAAAAGATAAAATTAAAGATATAACAATTAAAATTTTTTTGTTTATATAACAATTAAAATTTTTTTAGTGTTATATAATATTCAATATTTCAATAAAATTTTATTAGAAATGTATTAACATATTAGAGTTGTAATAGAATTATAATTAAAAAATGAAAGATAACGGAAATAAAATCATTATTTAAAAACTAATTAAAAAACTAATCACAATTATTGACAAAATGTTTTGCAAAAATCTCAGAAGATTACTATTTTAGAATATTACACACACACACACACACACACACACACACACACACACACACACACACACACACAACTAAA